TCTCAGGAACGGGACCATGGAAGCTGCTCTGCGCGACTTGCTGGCGCGGGTTCGGGGAGACGCGGAGGGGCTGAGGAAGGTGGACCTGTCGATAGGAGGATGGTGGATGAAGGGAGCAGACGCCAAGGAGCTGCTGATGGCGCTGAGAAGCAACACGAGGGTGCAAGAGGTAAGACATGGTTCACCCTCCTGTCCATCTCCATCAACGGCAGCAGCGACAACGGCATCATCTCCATCATCTCCATCATCTCCATCATCATCATCTGCCTGCACTCGCTGATCTCTTGGCATTGCAGCTGAACTTTCACGGGAATCAGCTCGGGCAGGAGGGTAGCGAGCATGTGGCGGCATGCTTGCAGGTCAACCAGCATGTGACGCGGCTTAACATGGGAGGAAACAAGATCGGAGACGACGGGCTGCGAAAGCTCGCGAGCTGCTTCTCCTCCCCCTCCTTCTCCCTCCAGCACCTCCAGCTCTATTCCAACAACATCTCTGATGTGGGAGGACGCGAGTTGCTCGAGAGCCTACGGGGCAGCACCAGCCTGAGGTCCCTCGACCTCGCGGGGAACCTCCTCAGCTGCGACTGCCTGCTGGGCCCTGAGCTGGCCCTCCCCTCCCAGCTCACCAGCCTCTCGCTCGCTCACAACCTGCTGGCAGACGCAGGGGCCGAGGCGCTCGCGCGCTGCGCGCGCGAGAGCAGCAGCCTGACGAGGATCGACGTGAGCGGCAACTTCATGGGGGAGGAGGCGAGGGAAAGAATTCGCGTCCTCGTCGCCCACAACGTGAGGCTGAGAGACCTCAAGCGAGCGAGGGAGGAGGAGCGAGGGAGGGAGGCGGCTGCCTTGGAGAGACACGCGCAAGAGCTCGCGAGGCTGGAGGAGGAGCGAGAGAAGGAGGAGGAGGAGAGGAGGAAGACGTACGCCAAAGCTCAAGCTCTTGTTGACTCCCTGACACCTGACAACCTCGATGAATGCGACGAGCTGCACAGGTGCAACCAAAATCTGTTTGGATTTCATCACCTCAATCATCATTGTCATCATTGTCATCTCCATCATCATTGTCATCATCATCCCCATCATCATCATCTTCTTCTTCTTCTCCTCCATCATCACTATCATCATCATCATCATCATCATCATCATCATCTTCTTCTTCTTCTCCTTCATCATCATCATCATCATCATCATCATTTCCATCATCTCCATCATCATCTTCTTCGTCTCCTTCATGATCATCATCATTATCTTCTTCTCCTCCTCCTCCATCATCATCATCATCATCATCATCATCATCATCATCTCCATCATCATCATCTCCATCATCATCATCATCATCATCATCATTAACCACCACCGCAACCACCATGTCATGTGTCGTCTCACTCTTTTCTCTGCGAGGTTTGCTTGCGAGGGTTCCTCCGCCTCTTCTGCTCTCGTTGCCGCTGGCGTCATCCCCGTCATCGTCGACCTCCTTGCGCGTCTCGACCTGCAAGTCGTGACTCCCTCCCTCCTCTCCCTCGTCCGTCGACATCTCCTCCTCCTCCTCCTCCTCGCCCAGCAGAGTCCCGACTACCGCGAGCAGATGGTCGACAACATGCTCATGCTCCCGCTGCTCTCGCTGCTCGACCCCGCCATCCTCGATCGCGTCGTCTTTCCTCCCCCTGCAGCTCATGCTTTTCTCCCTCCTCCTCCCCTCCTCCTCCAGCAGAGGAGCGTACGGATGCAGTGGGTCAGCATGACCGTCGCTTCCCTGCAGCTCGTCCTCCTCCTCCTCATCTCGCGTCCTCTCTTTGCTGTCCGCGCAGCCCTGGCTGGCGGTCTGCTGGACGTCTGCTGCCAGCTGCTGCAGGAGGAGGAGCTTCGCGAGCTGGACGTTGGGAGGGAGCTGCTCCGGGAGAGCACGCGCACCATCTGCTTCCTCGCGCAGTTCGTCGTCTCCTCGCACAGGATGCGAGCTCCGATCGCGGTGCTGCTCTTCCTCCTTGACCTCCAGGACGAGAAGCGACAGGAGGCAGCGGTCGATACCCTCAGCTCCATCTTCACTCAGCCGCTCGTCACCCTGAGATCCTTTCGGTCCCCGTCTGCTAAGGAGGAGGAGGAGGAGGAGGAGGAGGAGGAGGAGGAGGAGGAGCTCACTCCAGCAGAAGCCAGGAGGTCACTGCTGCAGGATCTGGTGGAGGAGGACGGCATTGAGGTTGGCCGAGGATGAGCACGATAATTCCATCCTGATGCTGATGCAGAGGATGCTGATGGCGCTGATGAGCAGCGAAGCAGCGAAGCTGGAAGAGAAGCTGACGCGCCTGCTGCTGGCGGTGAATGTGCTCGACTCTCCTTCTTCCTCTCACGTCTTGTGCAGCTAGTTGAAGAGGAGGAGGTCGTGGAGAGGATGTTGAAATTCGAGGTAATGTGAGGAGAAGAAGAGGCGTGAGGGCCTGAGCAGCGATGGGATTGGAGCAGGAGGAGGAGGAGGAGGAGGAGTAGAAGGTTTAGGAGCGGAACGAGGACGAGGACGAGGACGAGGACGAGGGAGTGGGAGGGCGAGGGGACTTGGGGAGGGGGATTCGTCTCTTTTGGTCTTACAGTGAGCAGGGAAGAACGTTGTGTTCAGCCTCACGCAACTTCTGCTCTCGTCAGCCACTAGCGACGCCAAAGCCAACGCCCTGGTG